CCGCTGTCTTGTCCATGTCATTGCGTCAGGAAGCGCTGTTGCTGCGAACACCCACACCACCCATTCACTGTGCCATCCCTGGTTTTGGGGGGCAGTGTGGCAGTCTGGCAGAGCGAAGTTGGGATTGTTTGCCTTTCCTCTGCTCCTCTCCGTGTGGGTTGAGGTTACTTGGCGGAGGAGACTGGAGGAGCAGCCCGCAACCTTTCCAAACCTTGCCTGTCGCCAAGAGACGAACAATGCGGACAAGTGCAACCGAGGAGGCAGCACGAGGCAAGAAGAGGCGAGTAATGGAACACTGGCGCCGATGTTTCTCAGTTTCAGAGTTGTCTGCCAAGAGGTCCGAAAACGACTTCGTGCGACAAACCCTCCGCCCTTCCCCTTGCTCTCCCTACAACCTCAAGCCACTTGCGTGCCATCCAGCTTCGCTACCCTACCATTTCTCGCATTCCTCAGCCAAGGGTTCAGGGTTCTAGGGGGGCCCGGTCCCCGTCTCTCCCGCCAAGATGTCCCGCTGTCTGCCGTCTTTCCGGCCCCCGATTCGCCAGCTTGCACTCACAGTCTCCAGCGGCTTCGAAGCCGATGTGGGCGGCCCGGCCGGGACCACTTCCTCGATTCCTCTTAGTTCCCATTGCCCTCCTCCCCGATTGAGGCTGGAAAGAGGCTCAGTTCTCCTCCCTTCAGTCCCTCAGCGGCTGGTGTCTTCAACGTGACCAGGGGGTAATGTTTAGTCAACATTCTACATCGACATGGTTCCTTCGCCAAAGGTGAGAACCGCATCGTTTCAGAATGTCTTTCGTCCCCGCCCACGCCGTGGCCGCCAGCGCCTGAAAGATTAGATCGGCCGTCCCGGATTGAGCTTTTCTTGGTGACGGGGGATTGCACGTCAAACGGCCCCTTTCGCCCTCAAGGCCCGCCAATCAATCTCGCAAGCCTGCTCCTTCAAGTCCATTTGAAGTCTTTCAGACTGGCACGGTGAAAGAAAATCCTCCGCATTTCGATCGTCAGCGAGTCACGTTTCCAGGGTGTGCTGGTTTGACTTGAGGGCGCAAAAGCCAAATCGGGGAACCTAAGTTCCTACCCAGGGAGAGTGATGAAAAGGTTGAACTCTTCCAGCCAAGAAGACCAACCTGCAAAAGCCAATTTATTTGACAAATTGATGCGCGAATGCACATAAGACTGAAGGAGAGAGCTCCCCTCGAAGCTGGGGCGAAAGCTCAAACCAACCTTTAATCAACCGAAATTCCACAGACCATTGGCTCCCCCGTTCAATTTAGTTCGAACGAACGAACTCACCCCCAGAACTCTGCTCTGCTTTTGTCAAACCTTCCGATGTCTGCTTCCTTTTCGTTGACACCTTACGGTTGAGCTTCAATTGTTGATGATCAAGAAGGATGATTCATCCTTCTTGCCGTTTTGTCGATCGTGTTCGTTTGCGCATTCTCAAACAGCGCCACCCGCCATGCAATTCGTGGGGTTTCCGCTGCACAGCGCAAGCGCGCATTAGCCAGCCCGGGGATCAGCAGTTTGAACTACGAGCGATCCCCCTTCTGCTGGTGGCCGCGTTGCACCATTGAAGGAAAGGGAACGGAGGATTAATAACCATAAGGCTCTCGCCCCTGAATGAGGTTCCTGCCGGTTCTCTTTACGCGTTGCACTGGCTTCATCTACTCGATTCCGCTAGCATTGCTTGACGTCGTCCGGAGTGTCCTTCCACGGGGAGATAGACAGCTTTTCATGAACTTGAGACGATGGTGGGCAGATGACCCGGTCGAGCTCGAAAGCTTGGCCTTTCCCGACTGCGCAGTGCTCGAAAGGGGCGCGGCAGTGAGTGGGCTCTCTTAATCTACAGGTGAGGCAACCTTAAATGCCTACCCCGAGTCAATCCCACCGGATATCGTGCTCGAATACTGGGTCCTGCGGACTTGTAGGGAACGGTTAGCGCTCGGGCGTTGCAATTTCCAGCATGGTCGGCCGGTCACTTCATCTCGCCATCTAAGGTAAGCTTAAAAGCCTGTTGATATTGATCAACACACTTTCGACTAGGAGTCGCGTGCCCACATACCGGATCGTCGTGAAGCCGGAAGTAGGCACCTAGGTGCTAGAATGGTAGATTATGCATCATTCGATGCTCTTGATCCGCATGATTTTTCAACACTGTCGCAACCCAGATGGCCGTTGAAGCATGTTCCGTCGGGCTACGCAAATGCAGCCTGCTTCATGATTGGAAGGTTTGTCCTCATAGCTACTTTAGTATTTACGACGAAGTTGTAAATGGACTGTACCCATAGTGATCTCACGTGGAAGACAAGTTCAGTCTGGCCCGGACAGCAGGTTATTTTCATTTGTTTACCGAAGGTAATCTGCTAGTGGCGACTTGCTGAATTCGCTTACCCTCTTAGTTTGAGTGCAACACGGACTAAGCATGTGAGTTGCAACATGGTGGCTTGCGAACGTGTCTACGAAGCCCCTGTGACTGGTACTTCTATCGTAAGCCCCGAATGTAATTCAACAACTTGCGTTCACACTACGTGTTCATTTTCCGCCAACTTTGATTGTCTATAACTGGTGATTCCTAGCTATGAAAGCGCCGAAGTACGTATGTCAGTAGGGAAGATGTGCGAGCTGTGAAATCTACCTCAATCAGCCGCATAATCAACAGAGATTTCGGAGGCTGAGATGACCGTAAATGCAAGATTCCGGTTTGAATATCCGGCTTAGATTGTCATCTTGCGTATCGATGTTGCTTACTGCAGGTTTTGAATCCAGAGGTTTGTACTAAGATCGTGCCAAAGTACGGGGTGTGGGTCTGGAACCCAGATTCGACTACATCTTGAGCGACAGGTGAACCATTGATATATTTTTGCTCGAAACACGAGACACGAGACTGCCTATGCCTATCTTGTTTACACAATGTAATAATGGAAGGCTCTTCACCGCGACCTGGAACCGAACCGGGTTACATTAAGAAGTAAGCTTCAGGCAACCAATTGCTCCCTGGGTAGTGGCCGATCTGTGGGATAGCCCATATGAATCGATAGCCGGTTATTGGCTCCAAGATGTCAATAGCCTACATGCAACTACATCTAATCAAATACTACTACCATAAAATGTGCGTGAAGGGGTCACAACCAGCAACCCAGGCTAACTGTGTCAGCCAGAACGCGCCAGATCATGCGTTCAAATTCCAGAGGGTCCACACCAAAGGTTGTGATGGTGTGACCACGAGTACCCGACTGATATTTTATGCGTGGGAGCTGAAGTACCTAACATGATCAAGTAGGCTGCCGGACAGTATGGTGCTGTCGACAGGTGATTCGTCAATATCAAGGCCAGTCTCGCTTGCATTCAGCCTGTTCTGTATGATTGAAACTGGCTGGGGAGCTGTGGCTTTGTGGGTGCCAAGTATGACCTTTCCTCCTACAAAGAGAAGTCCTTAATTGACTTCTTCGGAGTGTGAGGAACTTTTCATGATGTACGGTAATGCGAAGGTGCTCGGGACTCGCATATCTATGGCCAACAATTATTTCAACTTCCGACTTACACTCCCGACATATCTCCCAAGCAACTCTAGCCCATATTCCAACAGAGCCTAAGGAATTCAAATGCGCTAAATGGTACCCCTCTGACACTGAGATTCTGAATGATTTCTCGTAAAACATAAACAGAAACAGGAGCACTGCTCTCGCGAACGATGAGTCTCCAACCAGCCGTACTCAAAATCGCCACTGGCGTGCGCCAGTTCGATGGTCGGGTCTACGATACTCGCTGAGACACATGAGCTCCACGAGTCTAAGAACAAAACATCCTTTGCTGACGCAATCACAGCAACGGCGAAGGGCGCCACCTACGATAAGTTCATTGCAATCTTTAGGCCAACCGAAGAGAACCCTATGGGAAGCCATAATTCACTTCTGGAAGTCCTACCAGAGTTGTTTCAGAACGTCACCATTTTCATGGCTAGCATACCTTCTATTAGGTCACGACTACTCTTCACTATTGCCTACTTAAGTTGATTTACTGCAGTGTTAACTAGCCACATATCCAAGAGGTACAATTCTGTCAATCCCGAGAGCCCTAGAGAAAATCTAGTGACTTCTGCCATGTACAGTAACGTCTACGTCCTCGCGCCCAAGAACTCTGACTGCTGTAGGACTTGCCATTGGTGCCTCAGTAATTACGGTAGTGATGGGACTCTGGTCTACCTTTACTTCGGGAGCCTCTTTTGCTTCTAACTTCCGACGATACTGTGGGTGACGAAGAATGCTGATCTGAAAATGGAAATTACTCAACCAGGGTTGTGGGACAAGATCCGCTGCCGAAAGAGTTGAGTCGAGCAACGGTTAGGTTATGGCTGGAGACGAAAGCTGACCACAGGAGTACAAGCACGTACAATCTCGTAGAGAAAGGTCTAGATGACAATGCGAAAGCCACCAGGGGCGTTGAAGAGAGATCGGCTTGAGAGATCCAGATACTGCAATGTTGCAGCTTGAAGATGGAGATGGTGCAGACTGATCAATTAATAGATATTGAGGGATTTGAGAAAAAGGACCTACGGAAGGCATCACGTTATTGCTTGGGTTCTTCTTGAAGGGATGGTCCATCACTTGGCGTTCCCATGTAGCATGCACGAAGAGGATGCAGAGCTTAGGTATACGAATGTTTGCGGCTACCTCATGGAATGCAGCACAAGTCCCAATGAGCTTCCATAAGATTATGACATCACTCAGAGTATCATGGACTAAGATTCATCGGGACGAAAAGACGTGAGCCAGTATTCTACATGTCCAAGTGGTCACTGGGCTTGTCTTGTAGCATGAACCTGCTGCACCATGCTGTTGACATCGTGCATATATAAAGATTAAGGGGTACTTGAGGCTCTATAGATACAATTGATATGAAGTTATCACACTCAGGATACGATCTCGTCTGCAATTGTATAGCATAACTGCATGCATTGTGAACAACGCTATGACTGAGACTAACGGTGTCTATGTGTACATCTAAGTGGTCTTCGATGCTGTGAGAATGTCTAAAACAACCCGCAGCTGAGTCATCGATACAGGCTTCTTTGCTTTACGTGCCATGAGTATGCCTGACTTGAGAGCATTCTTAATCTCCCTTCCATTGACATCAACCTCTGCCAATGACTGGAAGTCAGCCTCGATAAGACCGTGCTTAATCTTGTTCTCCTTTAGCAGATTCTCCCAAAGGCTCTTGCGGGCCTCGATAGTCAGCCCGGGAAGCCTGATGTTGATGTGAATGCGCGACTTAATTGCCTCGTCAATAACTGCAGCGCGATTTGTGGTAATGATCAGAGTGCCTGCGTAGTATTCTAAAAGTTGAAGGAAGACTTGGACAATGTCAGCTCTCAAAATGCGGTCTTTGTAAAGTCCATTAGTGGTTCCAGAGCAACTTACTGGAGACCAATCTATTGCGATGAAGATCAGATGTCGTCCGCTTCTCAAGAAAGACATCGCCCTCGTCGAGTAGCAGTACAGCGTCCCACTTAGACGCGATGTCTAACACTAGCTTCAGCCTTGCCTCAAGCTCTTCGGCATCGAATCCCAGTTGGCCAGCGCTGACTGCGTATAGAGGAGCGCGCATCTTTTCGGCCACTGGAGAGACTGTCAGCTGAATCGCGTTATGCCAAACAACATGGGGGTTCAGGAAACCTACCGACTTCGGCTGTCAGTGTCTTGCCAACACCTGTGTCGCCACTGAGGAGGAGAACCAAGCCCTGGCCTGGTCATAATTAGCCTACGTCCTTCATTCTTCACCCAGATGAATACTCGTCGTACCCTTCTGCTCGATGAAATCATCAAAGCCATCTTCAGCGAGCATCTGCTCCTCAACCAGAGATAGCAAGAGATCTTTGTACCCATTGGGGAGGATGAGGTTCGATGCGCAGGTGTCGTTCCATTCAATTTCGCCGACATCATCGACAGTGAACTTGGCTACAAGGTCTCGTCAATTCAAAACTCCTTTTGCAAAGTTGGCAAGCGACACTCACCCCAAGCCTTTGATTTCAAGGAGTACCCCCGAACTGTACTTCCGCACAACAAAAAACTCGCTATCCCTGACTAGTTTGAAAGATCTTGCAAATGAAGTCACGTCGTTTTGGTCTGAACTCAAGGGTCTCAGAAACACGGCCTTAGCAGGGTTGTTATCGTCGAATGTCTCGGGGTCAATGATAATACGCCCGGTTGACTGCCGAATATCTTAGCAACGAGTAAGGTGGGAAAAGAGATCAGGGCGGGCGACTACCATACCTTTCTTGGCTGCCAAGCGTCTTTGCGCCCAATGTACCACTCTTGACCGTTGCACTTCTTGTGATGGAAGCCAGAGAGCTCTGCAAAGCGCCTTCCTCGACGAACCAGAATTTCCTTGATCCCCTCTGCCTCTGGGTTGTACTTGAGAGGGCTGACAGGTAAGCTCGCTATTGATGCTGCGTCCTTGAAGCAAGGTATTTCCAAGCATGTGCCTGCAAGTCCAAAAGTCTTGCCATCCGTGTCGATGAAGTCGCATTTGAGCCGGTAACCCTCTTTCGAGTATGCACCATTGCGAGCTCTCACAGCAACAGCCTGTCCCAAATCGTCTGCGGCGAGACAGATCTCGCCACGAGGAAAGATTGTCCAGAGAAGGGGATATGTGATCAAGCTATTAGACAGGAGGTCGTTCACCTCGTCGAAGAAGTCGCCTAGTTCTGTGGACAAGACTTCGTAAAGCAACCTGAAATGCTGCAAATCTTCCTTGTCTTCTGACTTCTTAAACATTTCTGTCATCGCCGCCCATTGGTGAAAGACGTTCTCAAAAGGCCGCTCAAGAACGAAATCCCTAGAAGTGATGGCGGAACCAGTGCCGCGGAGGACGTCTCGCAATGTGTCCTTCAATTGCTCGCTGTGCACCAAGATGGAATGTAATGAAAGCGACTTTTCCTTTTCATGGTCTCGGTTGCGGCGAACTGTGATGACTGTGCCGGTCGCAGCCTCCTTCTTGTTCTCTGGTTCTTCCTCAACCCAGTTGATGCAGCAGTTGCATTCCTTCTTGCCTTCATAAAGATTTTGGACGGCTTTCTTGCTGGGCTCATCGTCTTCCCCGGAATTGGAGTCCCTATCAGAGTCATCGTCGGTGTCTTGTTGGGCGGAGGAGTCAGACTCTGGAATGTTCTCTGAGCTGGATTCTGACTCTCGTTTCTCAACTGCTGTTCCGAGCTTGTCGGTTGTCTGTCCGGTGCTCAGAAGCGGCTCGCTGCCTGTAGGCTTGAGTTCTGCCATAATATCCTCTAAAGTCACTCAAGCAAACTTATGTGTTGTCAGTTCTTGTGTTTGGAAAAATGAAGAGAGCAAGAATTTGCTGGTGGAAAATGCCCCTTTTCAGCAATCTCTTTGCAGTCTTTCCGATTCATTCAAGATTAGGCTGCCTTACGCGCCTATGATGGCGACCTGAGATTGATGCCGCCAGCTGCTTACTCTGCATAGATACGGGGACTGGGCCACTGTAAATCATCGCCGCGGCAGAAAACAGAGATCTTTCCCCTTTTGATTGAACTTCATTGGCTTACTTTGGTCATTTCGTGAATGTGGCGGCAGCTTGCAGTAGTGTGTTTTCGTCACAAGCAGCCATTCGCTTCTGATCATGCGACAGAATGCATGTCAGACGTGGCAAGGCAGACAGTTGAGTACTCAGCCACAGGCTTGCCTGTACAAACTGGTTTTCTTTGGAAGATTGCAAGTCTCGCCTACAGCTGTCTAAGATGAGTTTCTGGGCTCCTGATACTCGTACCGACATGAGACACCTAGTATCTGTCCACATGTAAGCTCTCCCTTCTGGCTTCCTGTTCACCTCATTTCCAATCTTTAGCATTTCTGGACTAAGTTTGTAGTGATCCCGCATCTCAAGAAGCCAGATATTGAGGTTTGAACTTTGTCATTTCATATTTGGCTCATCATGTCACTTTCAGCGAATGTCGCCGCCGATAGTCTTCCGTTCTTGCAGTATGCACCGCTTAACTGCGAGAGATCAATCCACATTGTCATTTTGAGTCCATCAATCGAGTTGGACGATCCAATTCAATGCGCTTTGAGAGAGGTACGACTAGGAAGCTCATCGCAGGAGACAACACCATACGAAGCGCTCTCGTACGTCTGGGGCGGGAGACGTGGCGAGCACCCGATACGGTGCAACGGTTGCCGTGTTGACGTCACGAAGAACTGTTTAGAGGCTTTGCGTCATTTGCGGTATTCCGATCGAGAACGTTTGCTCTGGATTGATGCAATCTGTATCGACCAGTCCAGTATCCCGGAGAAAAACGTCCAGGTGGCTTTGATGGGAGATGTGTACAGATTCGCCGCGCGTACAGTTGTTTGGATTGGTACGGATGAGTCACCCGGTAACTTACTGCTCTCATTGTTTCGACGATGTAGATGGGTGGGACTCTTGCTGAGAGCTTCGCCGGAGGCAAAGCGTTCGACACCGCGACGTGAGTTATACCTCTTACGCCCAACCTTGCGGAACCAGCCGTGAGGGCCGCACATGCCGTGCTTGCTCTTGGAGCTGAGACTTATACGAACGCAGTTCCAAGCAGAAACGTCTTAAAAGCCATCGAGCTTCTGATCAAGGTCCCTTGGTTTACAAGGACATGGACGCTGCAAGAACTATGCTTATCTGAGCATGTGGTTGTCACGCTAGGAAAATCTTCCCTTTCTTGGGAATCTTTGAATGCGTGTCTAAAGCACTGGATTACTCTCGCGGGTCGCAAGTTTGGCCACCGAACAAACGAGTTTGATTTAGTCAATCTCGCAGACAGCTTCGGGATGAAAATGAATTATCGCTCAGTCTTACTCGGAGAGAAGCAGGAAAACTCGAATATCCCAAAGCTGACCTCTGCATATCTCGCAACCCGGTTGATAAAGACGATCAGAAGGAGAAATGCAATGGACAAACGCGACCAGAGCTTTTCACTCTATAACCTTCTCGGAAGGCTCGGTATCAGCGTGCCGAATCCGGATTACACGAAACCCGTCACCAGAGTATATGAGGACCTCGCATTGGCCCTCTGCCTTCATTCGGGTTCATTTTGGGTTTTGCATATGGGGTCTAGCGAAGACAAAGTAGACGGACTGCCATCATGGGTTCCAGACTTCAGCCAATTCAGCCCTGGAGGTTTTAAAGATCAGTGGGACCTGCTTTCGAACCCTACACCGATCATTGCTGAAGAGGTTTCGGCAATTGGCCTCTTACAAAGCAGACGCAACACCGGACAATTATTAATCAGGGCTCGACGCCTGCCGCCTGTGACAATGATTAGCGGATCCCATGTACCAAACGCACGATACCTTTCAACGACGGTGAATTATGGCGAAGATATCAAAGATCTAGTCCTACCCGCAGTAGCTCAATGGTTTCTCTTTGCTGAGAGCCTAGAATTCTTTCCGTCTCGAAGACGTGGTGCTGAAGCCTTACTTGCTCTCATCGCGAGTCTAGCAACCAGAAAGACAAGCGACGATGAATTCAAACCCAAGGCGGATATCACACAGACTTGGTGGGCAAACTTCTACAAGGGACTCATGATGGGTTTCACTGCCGAAGGACACCGGTCGACAAAAAAACTAGTCAAATCCGCTTCTCGGCGTGGACGATGCGTGAGCGTGCATGGAGGCTGCGAGAGACCGAATGCACAGTCCATTGGCTGGTCAATGATGAACGAGAATATGACAGACATTGACACCACGTCTAGCGTCCTGCTGGCTTGTCAGGGCCTGAGCCTTTGCCTGGTTGGCCAGGGCATGCTGGCAGTGTGCGACGGCCCAGTCCAAACCGGTGACGTGCCGGTGTTCGGGGCCGGGTTAATGGAAGAGCTGATTCTCCGACCACGAGGCGAGGAGTTTGAAGTGGTCGGAACTGCTCGTATCCTGAACTTCGAGGATGACGAAATCCCAAAGCCGTTTTCTGGGTTGGACGATGACAGGTTGGAGACTTTGACTTTAGTCTAGGGGACCGCTGTCAACTAAGCCCTGCTTCCCGCCTTCCCTGCCATGGGTTGATCATTTCACGGATCGGAATTAGACCATATAAATGCCCTGCTAAAGGAAACAACGCCTGTGCGAGTTGTGAAACGAAAACGAGAAAGAGTTGAGACGGTCTGGGTAGAGTCAAGGTTGTATCAACATTGAATCGGGAAACTCATTCGATGACATGATATGGGGGAGTCCGAGCTGATAATGCCTGACTCGGCGATATCCCCTCACGTCACACTCGTGGTCTAACTGTTCTATACCTCGATATTATTCAGGGAATTCAACATGACGGAGAATGCATGAACGTAGGAACATTAGGTAGAATGTCAGGTCGTCAAGGGCTGCAGCCAAGCACCTAGTGACCGTTGCATTATTGAGTCGGCGGTATGGATGCAATGTCGTCTTGAAAACCGAGCCGGTGGGAGTAAGAAGATAACATATCCAGCATATCCAACTCAAGTGGTCTGAATCGTCTGGACTTTCGGTACCTGAAACTAGAACTCGAACTAAGTTACTTCTTTAGGGAACCGATATGAAATGTATGTGGCTCGCATTACCAAATCGCGCAGCTCGCCGGCCATCACAATGCCGTACCCATGGCTTCATCTTGCACAACCTCCTACAACCTTGGCCCCAGACTGTTGATAGGAGACAGCCTGCAGGAAATAACCCTCCACTCACATCACGGATGTCACTGCTCCCACACCGAAAGTCAAGACCGTCTCAACTTTGCCTCATGAAAGAGCCGGCAATCCCAAACTTCAGGCTAGGCTTATTGGTGACATCGGGACCTGCGGCAGCCAAGTCGCTTTAGGATGGGCCTGGCCCTGCCATCACCTCCCTCTCACTCACGTTATATGGACGTCGTAGTCGTGTCCAAACTTCATTCACAGACTCCTGCCCACCTACTATCCGTCAACTCATAATCCAAACCCACTGAGCTGGAACGATCTGAAGTTCCTCCTCGTTTGTCTCCTCCCCACCACACTCTCTTTAATCTTAAAGGAAGCAGAACTTCAATCCTTTTCGTCTAAGGAGACGGGCTTCCGGCAGGCTCACGATGTTACTACGTTCTCTGTTGTCCTTTACCTTTGCTGCGGTTACAGTTCTCGCCGCTCCTGTCTCTATACAACATGCCAAGTACAAGCGCGACCTGGCAACGATTCAAGCTGCTCTAAACACTATCAACTCAGCACTTCAAAGTCTTGATAACTCCGTGAAGGCCACGAACACGGTCACCCTCGGTGGCGGAATCCAGCTTTTGAATGCCGTCGGCAACGTGAAGAGTTCCATCGAAGACGCCACCACCCAGGTCCAGGGATCCGAAGTCCTCAACAAAAAGGATGCGCTCAACCTCAAGGCTGCCACGGACGCTCTCACAAACAACGTCAAGGTCACCATCAATGACGTTGTAGCGAAGAAGTCTCTGGTTGACTCTCTGGGCGCAACACCGCTGGTGGCTGTTGCTCTTCAGGATCAAAAGTCTGCTAGTGTCGCCCTTGCCCAAGCTCTCGTCAGCAAGGTCCCTCCCGAACTCAATGGTGATGCGCAAAAGAGCGCAACGGCTCTCAGTACCGTTCTGGACCAAGGCATCGGCGTCTTTGGCGGCACTTCTGTCGCGCCTCTTCCCGCCGCACCCCCTCCAGGTCCACCGGCCGCCCCTCCCGGTGCCACGACTGTTTGCCAAGCCGTTATGCCGGATGGGACGGCCGTTGGGCTAGCGACTGCTATCGAAAATCCCCCGCCCCCTCCTGCTGCTGCCCCGGAGGCTCCAGCAGAAGCTCCGGCGGCGGGACCAGGTGGTGGAGGAGGACTCTTAGGTGGACTAATGGGATTGCTCGGCCTTAGGAAGCATTAAAGCAAGGATAGGAATGTGTACGATCAAGCAGGAGTTTGGACATGGGCGCGGTGATGTATTGAGGCAGGGTCCGTCACGAACATGCTAAGCGGTCGTCATATGAAAATTGGAGAATCTCTCTCGAAATTAATATACTTTGAACTTCAGAGAGACAAACTTCGTTCAATTGGTTCTGTAGAGCGCTCGCTCAATGTTCTCTCTCACGAATCTACTCTTACGTGTGGTACTGGCCGTTGCATCTCCAGTGTACAACACGTAGGCTATGTGGCAAAGATGGGGCAAGATCAACAGTAGAGACATCTAAAACACATCATAGGATTCAGTAACTCTAAACACTTCCGTCCATCCGGTAGGGATTCACGGAAAGATTTGCCTTGCGCACAGCAATATGAAGATTTATACACTAACTTGGATTACTATATACAATAATTGGCAAATATGTATCGGAACTCCATTATGCTGTCATTCCAGCAACCAAGTTGATCCCGCTAGTATCCTTTCCTGTTTCCCACTACATGTACTGTCTAGATTCATACTCATAAGCCCTCTACTTCAGGGGGTTTCCCTCCCTCTCCTGTGCTGTAAACTTTTGTACTGATGACCGTCGAGCAAGAGGCCGTCCCTCGTAAGGGCCGAGACCTTCCCGATCAAGACTCAGCGGGATCTCTCCAGACGTCGCCTGACTTTCTGGTCGCAAAGGTGTCCTCGCATCCTCTGGATCCGTATATCTGCTGAACCGCGACTGAATGAACAGCGGCTGTGCTACACCGTAATGACTGACTGGTGGTGTTTGGAAAGGATTGTCTCTGAACTCGGGCTGACCGACTTCGACCTCGTTCAAATACGGCGCGGCAGCAGACCTGCGCACTGACATCATCCGAGAGATGCCACCGCCAGCAGACCTCATGGAGCCACGCATGGACCTGACAGACCCACGGATCGATCTGACACGGCTGTATGCTTCTGGTCTGGGCGGTAGTACGACAGGCTTCTCGCCGTTCATACGTCTTGTGCTGAAGGCGACAATGGTGCGACCAGAGCCATCTCTGCCCAGGCCGGAAGAGTCGACAACTTCATACGGGTGGCCTAGTCCGGCTAGCTCATCTTCGATTTCTTCTCTGGTGAGGAGTGCAGCCTCGTAGTCTTCTTCACCAGGCTTCGGCTTCCTGGAGTAGTCTCCCGGGCCCTTCGATCCATTGGGGACGTGGAACAAAAGATCGATGCGGACAACTGCATAGAAAACTACGACAAAAATCTCCAACATGAAACCGGTGGTGTAAAACACTTCTTTGCTGAAGAGTTTGTTTGGTGTATTGGGTGGCTCGGCCATCAGAGTCGCCGCAAGACGCACCGCGTGACCACCAATTAGCAGGATGGCGCCAATGAAGAGGACGGCAATTTTCTGGTGAGTATCACCTTGCCCGAATCTCTCGGGTCTAGGTCCAGGAATCACTGCTGCGATGATGACGATGATGAGTGGCAGGACCGCGAGAAGCATGATCCACGAGACACCAGCTTTGAGGACATTGAGTGCGGTGTCGACACGGTCCTGGTCCTCAATCTTGAAGAATGAGACACCAATTGACGTACTGTTCGAGACAACCACGGCCGGGACCGAGAAAAGGAAGAAAAGGATGAAGACCCGGAAGGCGGGATGCCATCCAAAGTGAGGATGGATTGACCGAACAATTCTTTGAGCAAAGAAAATATTGACCACCATCACCACGACAGCTCTATAACGAAGTTAGTCACAGTACTTTGGGTGTGGATATTCGATGAAAGACCTACCCTCCGAACTGGACGATGAGTGCGACGAGAATCACAACTCGGCCCTTCTCAAAAGCCCAGACAATTCTCATAATACAAGTGACAGTTCTGACCATGCAGAAATCGAACATGAGATCGGATAGCAAGAATTTGTGACCGCGCTTGGCATTGGCACGGTAGATCCTAATGTGCGTGTACGCACCAGCCGCGAAGAGCAGCAGGAAGAGGAAAGTGACCGGTACATCGATGTTAGTCGTGGGGTCGCCGCCGATGAAAGCGCCTTGAGCGGGATCAACGAGTCTCTCGGTTGGAGGCTGGGCTGACCCTGCTCCTTGCGGAGGAGGCTGCTGTACTGCAGCGCCAGTCGTGCTGGCCGGAAGAGCGATCGGCATCGATGTAGTTGTCCTTACTTGGTTTGTTGTTGTCGGTGCCGGGGGCGGAGAAAATACTGGGGGTGCTACCGTAGTAGACGGAGCCTGCGATGTCGTTGATGTCGTTGGTGGCGGCGGCGGGGGAGGTGTTGCCACGGACGAAGATATTATTACGGTTGTTGGCGCCGGGATCGATATCGATGTAGACGTCGTCGTTGGCGGTGGAGGTGGAGGCGGCGGCGTAGTAGTCGACGTTGTCGATGTTGAGGTTGGCGGGGGAGGTGGCGGTGGAGGGGGTGGAGGAGGTGGAGTTGTTGCAACGGCCGCTGTTGTTGATGTTGGATCAGCTTGTTGCTGTCCAGTTGGTAGCTCCGCGATGAAAGAAGTTGCATCGGCAAGCTGCCTCTCTTCTAATTGAACTGGGTGCAGAGGCCCAAGATGAAGACCTGCTGCTGCAGCTGCTGCCGCTATCGTAGCGGCTTTAAGAAGCCACATGTTGGTGCGTGAGATGATTGAGGGCCTCGTATGCCTCTCAAGGGTTCTCTCAGATGCGATGAGAATGAGTTTTAAGCCATGCCAGCATGTGGTATCGTGGGAGAGTATGTCAGATGCCTTGATGGCCGATCTCGAAAAGGAATTAAGAATCAAAAGAACGCTAGCACATGGAGAGTAAAAGACAGACTTGTCACCTTACACCACCTCAAGATATGAGGTTGACAACTGCCTGTTGAAGGGGAGGGGCGGAGGCTTAAACAGAGCAAGGATTTGGTGCAACCCAGGCCCCGGTCGGAAAAGTCGGCTGGGAACATTGACGACTTGATTACCCTGAAAGGTGGTGTGCGGTCCTTCCAAGGAGGCTTGCTGTCTGGTCATCCCGGAAACAGAACATAGCCGTGTCAAGATCCTCTTCGTGGCGTGCGTCACTCGGATCTGTGTGCAAGTTGATAGAGTTAGAGAAGGGGTTTCAGCGACAGGGTCTG